TATATAACAAAATTCAAATGAGACACAAAAATAAACGAGGAAATTAAAATCGCGTGCATGATTTAATTAAATAATTTATATTTATGGAACCTTATTTAGAGGATAAACTTATAATTTTCCATTACAATGGGTGATGACAATCTAATCTATGTATATGATTTGTGGGTGGAAACTTCCTTTATAAGTTGCAAGTCTTCTTCAATAGATAAGCTAATTTCCTTGTTAAAGGATGATCTTATATTTGCCACTTAATCATGAATTTATCTCATAATTATAAAATATATATTTTAAACAGTTTTAGGTGATTATAAGATAGCATATTGTCACACCCCAAATTTTTTTAATTTAATTTAAATTCAATTAATTTATTTTATTTAATTAAGTGACTAAAATGAACAATTCTAAAGATTTATGCGTTAAATTCGAATGTGTAGGAAGTTTAGGGACTAGCCCCATAATTTACCCATAACTCACCTGCTACCAAAAAATAAAAATAGGGTGGTTAGGGAGGCTTAAACCTGTCACCTAGGTATGGCCGACCATCCCCTACCATCGACACTAGGTCACTATTTGAATATGATTTAATAAATAAATATATTTTATTTGTTTTTATCCGGGTTATAATACCCAAAATCCCCAAATTTCTTCCCCTAAAATCCCTAAGTGTTGCAACCCATTCGTTGATTTTCTCTTCGTTCGACCTCTGTTGTCGTCGTTGACCTTACCAGCATGACCGGTGTCCTCTGGCGACCTGTCTCCAATCGTCAACGACCCTAATTTGGCTGTTGTTCATCGCGAATTAGCGTCCAAGCGTGTGACGAGGGAACCATTGCGTTGTCCCCGATCTTCCTCGATTCCGGTTTTTCTAGCTGCCCACTCGCCTCACCATCGCCATCATTGAACTCGTCGTCCCTGTGAGCTTAAAACCCGACCGAAGCCTTCGTCCACCGTCGCCATTTTCTTTGTTGTTGGTTTGGGTAAGTGTTTCGATCTTGTTCTCTTGATTCCGATGGTTTTAGTTAATTTTGAGTGTTGGTATGGCTTGGTAGTGTTGTTTTGGTGCTCCCGGAGTAGTTAGTTGTCGCCCCCGACCCGTCGCCGCCATCACATGTTGCCACACGTTGTCGCATGCGCGTGGGGCTCCTCCTCGCCTCAGAAACCTTCTAGAACGGTCCAGGTGGACCGAACCAACCTAGCCCGGTCTGAATCGGGTCTTTTTGACCCGAACCGAGTCAACCCGAACTGACCTGAGTCAACCTGAACCGGTCAGACTCATTGACCTTGACCCAAACCATTGACTTTGACTTGACAGTTGACTTGTTCGTTGACTGATGACCGACTTTGACTTTGACAATTGACCGTTGACTTTGACCAAAATGTCAAAATTTTCAAAAAGTCATATTTTATGTTTTTCGATGTCCTGAGTCAGAATCTGAAGTTCATTTTGCCAAATTCGAACTCAAAAGCCTCTGAATTGGCCGTTAAACCCGAATGTGCATATATAATTTAATAGATTAATCTAAGTGCATCTAATTTAATTCAAGGGTCAAGGACTAATTTATGCTATCGTATATTTAAGGTACCCGTGATTTTCCTGATTGTTCACCTGTTCGTCTTGATTCCTCACGATATGTTTTTCAGCGCGAGCCCCCGATTACCCATATAGTTATTCAAGCCTATTAAATATTTAATTTATTATATTTACTCTGATTATAACCATGTTCTTATATGACTTAGGTTCTCGTACAGTCGAAGAGTGTAGTGAAGCCGATGCTCGATAGATCTCCTGGACTGATTCATTTTGTGAGGTGTGTTCCTTGTGTGCCATACAATTGTTTTAAATATTTGTTTGAAATACCATGTGCACGTGATTATTTTCTCTGATTTGAAATGAATTGTTTGCACTGATTTGACTACCTTATGATTTATCTGATTTAAGTATGATTCCTAATTTATTGTATTTTAAATCACACTTGCTTGACACATGTTATCTGGTTACTGCTTTTATTGATAAATAAATATGTTTGAACTCTGAATTCCTGGTACTACTGGTTACTGTCTGAAAAATGTTTTTCTTCGGGGTGCTCTAGGATCTGGTATGAAGTCTCTGCAGGTTCAACTTGGATCAAGCTGGTAATTCCTTATATAGGTTCAGCATCGATCAGTTAGTAATTCCTTATGAACCTAAGGTGAACCTTGGGTGGGCTCTTGGGCCTAATGGGCCTAGTGGTAAGACCTTATTGACCCTAAGGTACTCCCTTAGGGTGGCATGTCTGCTATGTGCATTGGATAAGTCCTTATGGGACTGAGGCCACATCCCTCAAGTGGGCACCTATGTTTCGGCTAGGGTAAGACCTTATGGACCCAAGGCACTATCTTAGGTTGGCACATACGCCCTTTGGGATAGGGTAAATCCTTATGATGTAGTTCTGGGGAACTGCATATGGTGTTCGGTTGGAGGGTGATTCTTTATTTTAAGCTAAAAACGCTAATGACGTTTTCTCAATATGGAAACTCTACTGACATTTCATGACTTTAATGTCGAACTGATTTTGAAACCTTAATTATATGTTTATTTCTGCAATGTTGGAACACACTGAACTCCCTAGCTCACTCCCCCAAACTTTTCTCTTACAGATACTTTTGATAGGTGTCTCGAAGCTGGCATTTGGAGGATCGACACATTCGTACAATTCCATTTTGTTGTAATGTATTTATCTTCCTAGCTACAATTATTTTGGGTGACATGTGCCTATATTTCAAAAGTATTTGTTTTACGATTTATACTGCTTTTGCTACTGTTGTCAGATTTGTTTTGACACTGATTATGGAATGTTTTATTTTACTCAGTCCTTAACACTTTAACTATCTTGAATTGAATTTTAATATTATAACTATATTTTTAAAGATGTTTATTTGAAATATGATTTTAAGTTATTGAAAAATATTTTGGAAAACTTTATCGTAATCCGCTAGATCTGGTCGTAATGCATATGTAGAGTCTATGGGGTTACATATATGTTCATAATTTTTTAATCATTAGTAATGCACATACACTCTACAAACACAACTACTCAAACCCAAAATTTCAAAAGATAACGTCACTCCTAAATCATCAGCTAAAGTAAACACATTAGTTGTATCCCGTGTAGGTACATTGACGTTTGCATTTGGTTATCTAAAATGGAATAGGGAAAGAATGTATTTTAACGAAGGTAAACTATTAAATTTGATCACTTCCTTTTTATATTTGTAATCTTTATCATTAAATTTTAAAAATACATACATTTTGTCCATTTATGTTATTGATTTATTAAGTTTTGATCGTTTATGTTATTAATTGTTATATTTTTGTTGTTGGATCGTTAACTCTCGTTAGTTTAATGACATATCACGTTAATAAAAAGAGTTAATTTTTAATTTGATCTTTGAACTTTAGATAAATATCATTTTGACACTTAAACTTTAAATAAAATATTAATTTGACCTATAAATCTGCGTGAAGTCTCTTGTTATTAACCTCCACTTAATACCATTAGACAAAATCCTATAGGATAAGATTGAGTTAGAACTCGTTAGATCCCAGTCCTATGCACACCCTTAGACAAGATCCTATCTGATTTTAAAAAGAAAATATTTAATTGCCATTGTTTAAATATATATATATATATATTGTTGTTAGGTTTTGTAAAATTTACAAACCAAGTACAACCACAGCTGTGGCTACTTGAGTTGTCCTTAACATGTACACTGACCCAATATATGTTATTGGCAGCTACTGCCTCCACTTGACTATATCGGGTAAAAAAATAACTATATTTGTTAGAGAAAATAACTTTAGTGACCGAAAATATCTTGTAATATACGATTTTGATCAATTTTTTTGGATTTGCCAAAATGACCAAGTAAATCGTAATGCGATCGATAATTTGCAACGCGATCTCCGGTATCGTAAATCAGTTTTCAGATTCGCAACGCGATAGTCGAAGTTCGCGTTGCGATTCATTCCAAATTCGTTGCGATAGTCGAAGTTCGCGTTGCGATTCATTCCAAATTCGTTGCGATAGGCGAAGTTCGCATTGCGATTCATTCCGATTCGTTGCGATAGACGAAGTTCGCATTGCGATTCATTCCAATTCGTTGCGACAGGCGAAGTTCGCGTTGCGATTCATTCCAAATTCGTTGCGATAGTCCAAAAAAAATTGATCAAAATCGTATATTACAAGGCATTTTCGATCACTGAGGTTATTTTCTCTATTTGTTATATATATATATATATAAATGGAAATTACAATTTCTTTTACTTTATTATTATTAATATTATTCAGGTCAAGAATGGACAAATTATTATTATTGGTTAAAATTATAAGATCGAATCATATTATAATTAAATATATTAAATTAAATTAAAATTATATTTAAACAAATACTAAGTTAGAATTAAATGAAAACTTTCACTCCCATTTTCACTTCGTTCTCATCCCTAAATGGGCAATTTTTTATTTCGCTATTCACTTATTATATATTTAGCTATTATTTTTTTAAAAGTCATATTTAAGGTTACATTTTAGTTCTGTTTTGATCACCTACTATTAAAAATTAACAGTGACGTTGATGTGTTATCATAAGGTACTGTCACGTTAAAATTGAAAAACAATTTATAAAATGTCACGTAAACATCATTATTAATTTTTTAACGGTGGGTGATTAAAACAGAATCAAAACGTAATATTAGGTATGATTTTAAAATATAATAGTAATTAGGTGATCAAAACAGAAAATAAATAATATATGGGTGGCCAAATAGATAGTTTACCCATAAATTAACGATCAAATGACGAAAATTCAAACCCTAAATCAGATTAACTTTTAAAGCGGTCAAATCAAAATCTCTCTCTCATCTATCTTATAAATTTTTAAATATTAAAAAATTAAAAAAGTTAAAAGAAAACTTCTCTTTTTCTCTCAACCTCTGCTTTGCCCCCCTTCTACATATACTCACTAGAAGCCATCATATCTCTTCGAATCGCTCATTTTCTCTGTTTTCCTTCACAGCAGAAGTACACATTCTCTCCCACTCAATTGAAATTCCCTTTTAAATTCTTCCACCAACTATGCCTTCAAGGCTCTCCGATGCCATTAGACCCCATATCGACTTCACTTCACTCCAAGAACTCCCCGATTCATACGCATGGAACCACCAGGCCGAGTTCGACTACCCCTCGTCGTCCGACGATGTCGAATCCGTGCCGATTATAGACCTTAATGACCCTAATTCTGTTCAAGCTATTGGCCATGCATGTAAAACATGGGGAGTTTTCCAAGTCATCAACCATGGTGTCCCTATTGGTCTCTTTGATATGGTTGAGTCCACTAGCCGAACACTTTTCTCTTTACCTGTCAACCAAAAACTCAAAGCTGCTCGATCACCGGACGGTGTCTCCGGATACGGTTTCGCAAGGATTTCATCGTTTTTCTCTAAGCTTATGTGGTCCGAGGGCTTCACCATTGTCGGGTCACCTGAAGAGCATTTTTGTCAACTTTGGCCACTTGATTACATCCATCACTGGTGAGCGTAGATTGCAGACATGATATATATATATATATGATTGTATAACAGGATTCAATGTTAATAGAACTTTTATTTGATTCTTCTTCAGTGATGTGATTAAGGAATACAAGCAAGAAATGAACAAATTAGCAGGGAGATTGATGTGGTTGATGTTGGGTTCATTGGGGATAACAGACAAGCAAGATATCAAGTGGGCTGGCCCAAAAGGTGATTTCGACGAGGCTTCAGCAGCTCTACAGTTGAATTACTACCCTGCTTGTCCCGACCCGGACCGAGCCATGGGTCTCGCCGCGCATACGGACTCGACCCTCTTCACCATCCTCTACCAAAACAACACGAGCGGGTTACAAGTCCTGAGAGAGGGAGTGGGGTGGATCAAAGTCCCTCCGGTCCCCAACACGCTCGTCATCAATGTCGGGGACCTCATGCATATCTTGTCCAACGGTTCATTTCCGAGTGTTCTTCACCGTGCCATGGTGAACCGGACCCACCACCGGTTATCGGTAGCCTATTTATATGGGCCACCATCGAGTGTCAAGATATCGCCACATCCGAAACTAGTAGGCCCAACTCAACCACCTCTGTATCGACCAGTTACTTGGAATGAATACTTGGACGCCAAAGCCAAACATTTCAACAAAGCACTCTCGCGGGTTCGAGCTTGTGTCCCTCTAAATGGATTGGTTGATGTAAATGAACACAATAATGGCGTAAAGGTTGGCTAAAAGACAACCATTGTTGTTGTTAATCACCTTTTTGTTCTCTTCCTCTTTTTATAAATATTATTCATTTTTATTGGAATAAACACTTTTTTTAACATATTCACCTTTTAATATGTATTTTAAGAGCACCTTTTTTCTTTTATATTGTTTACACTTCAGCTTTAATTTAATTTCAATTATGAGGAGTTTTGTCGAGATCTATCTTTCTTTTAAAAATAAGAAAAAAACAATAACTAAGGGAGGTGAAGGCCTCTGTCCCACTGTGGTAGAATAATGAAATTGTGCTTTTACTATTCTTAGTACTAATAATTAGATCTAATCATTTTAACATAAATTTATGACTTTAACCCTTATAATTAGAGAAGAATATTATATTCGCACATATGAGTTTTGATCTGATTCGATCTTATAAGACTGGTTTTTTTTCCTGAAAAATTTAAGATCAAGTCAGATTGAGTCATTTTTTAAGGATATAGTTAGGGCTGATATTAAAAAAAATATCGGATTGAAATAATATCCCTCTTTATATTTTTTTACTTAAGTCTATATTTCGCCTAATAAAAGTAGAACTTATATATGTGTGTATCTATTCGAGTTGGATCAGATGTAAATTTCTACCCTAAAAATCATGTTGAATTCTAGGTCGGATAAAATCTCTCTAAACTCGAATCAAATTGAATGACGAATAAAAATATATTAGATCGTATAAAAATCAAACCCAGTTCAACCCATATTTATCCGTATTTACAATTTATATTTTTATCTCTAGACAGCAAGATATTCTTGTACTAAATCTAAAATATCTTTTAAGAACCCCAATGTTTTGGAGCTTACATTCTTTCTTTCATTATGCTAAACGGATCTATTCTTTATACTCTAATTTATTCAATTAGAGCTGAAATTTTAAATTTTAAAAAATTATTTAAATTATTAATATAAAATATAAAAATTAAATCCATAATTTATAAATAATACAAAAAATAGAGATAATTTATTTGAAAGATAATGTCTGGATGGAGTAAATAAAAGTGGAAGGATAATGAGAGTAAGTTCCCAATGAAAGAGGACCAAATAGATAATTTTTACTTCAAATCATATACAAGGATGAAGACAAAAGGGGTTGTCTTTTTTTTCTTAAGTCTTTTGTCCTTATGTTAGAAAGAGATTGAGTGCAATTTCGTTTCTCTTTTTTCTTCTTCTTTTTCTTGTTTGAATATTCCATTTAAAGAGACGTCAGAATCGACAACTATTACACCCGGATATGAAGGAAGATCCTCGGTCCATATAATAAGACAAGTAAATTAAAAGATAAAACAAGTCACTTAAATAATAGGCTTATAAACATACAAATTAATCCAAAAACCTTATTTTAAAAATCTATATTATATATATACATTTCTGATGTAACAAACAAAACTATAATAATTTTTTTATAATTTTTTAATTTGAGCGTGGAATCACAATCGATAATTATATGAAGGAAATATAGAATAAAATATCTAGAGAAGATAATGAACAATGAGATTAGCTGAAATAGAAAATGAGAGAGAGGAAAAAGATCTCTTCTCCCCTCTTGTATGATGACTTATATATAAGTTTTCGGTGTTGATGTTTGACCTAGAATGATGATCAGAGACGAACGCATGATCTTATGTTGGGGGACTAACTTTTAAAATTTTAAGAGATGACAAACTTATAAAATTCTAGGAGACGAAAGTAAATTATTAATGGTAAAAATAAAGAAAAATCTAAAATATATGATAATTTAAAATTTTTAAAACGCAATTAAGAGCTCAATCCATCTCTGGTTATGATGATTATTTATATGTTGATAAATTAAATAAATTTAATTGTCAAATAATAAATTTAACAATCACGTAAATATGTAAGTGATTACATAATATATATATATATATATAAACGACTTGAATATTAATAAGAAAATAAAACAAGAGAATTGGAGCATCATCACGTGAAAGAAAATAAATCTTATCTAAAAGATTTTTCTTCTTGGAATTTGGAGAGTATTATTGTAGAGACATAAGTATCAGTCATTTCGATTCACGAAGATGTTTATGCAAAGCTTGAAGACGATATTACCTCTGCAAACCACGTGCTATTCCACATTGGCTAGTCACATTAAGCAACCCTACCTTAGGAATATTATTGGAGGTGACAAAATAAATTTTATTATATTTAAACTTTAAAGGGTAAATTTTTATTTTGATATCTGAATTTAATTTCAATGTTTAATTTGATACTTCAATTTTTGTTTGATCTTATTAAGTACCTGAACTTGACTAGTGTTTAATTTGCTATCCAAACTCTTTGTTTTCGCAAGTGTCTTTGGTGGTGTTCCTCGCCTTGGGAGTTTCTCTTTGTATTGTTGGAGAGAGTGTACTCTTTTCCTCCATTTAAGTTTAGGAAGATTTTTAATGAGACACTCTCCTTCGAACTAAGCTTCTGATTCTTTAATAAAATCATATTTGCCGAACAAAAGAAATCATTTTGAACTAATAAATCAAGTCTATGTACCTATTTGAACAAAAAAAATCAAGTTCGGGTACCAATTCGAACGAAAACCCAAGTTCAATATCTAATTCGATAAAAAATAGTTTAAATATCAAATTGAACCTTGAAGTCAAGTTCAAGTATTAAATTGAACCTTAAAGTCAAATATAACTATTTAAGTACCAAAATATGCATTAACCCAATTTAAAATTTAATTCAGAATAACTATAATATAATGTAATTAAAATAAATGAAAGGGTAAGGAGTAGCAAAGTCAAGAATTGTATATTGATAGTTAAGGTAAAATTAAAAAAAATATTGAAGACTAAAGCTAATTTTTTTTGTGTTAAAATTATTTAAATTACATTATTATTTTTGAAGGAGTAAATTATAATTTTTCGTTTAATTTATGAGCTAAAGGGGATTGAATTGAATAATTAATATTTAAGGGACTCTAAAAGATAATTATATCATTTAACCACATACCAAAACGTTACGTTTCTAAAATAGGAATTGTCAAAGATCGAACCCCATACTAATATAAATAAAGATTTAATATGAATATTTTATCACTTTATCTATATATTTTAGGGTAAAGTACACAAATGATCCCCCGTTATAGGATGCTATTTTATGAGTCTCCCGACTATTGAATGTTATAAAATTACCCCTTAATTATAAGGCACTACTTTGTTGAGTCTCTCGACTATTAAAAATACAAAATAGTCACTCGGCTATTCATATGTTTCAAACTCGTTATTTTCCGTTAAAAAATACATATGTCTGAATTGGACGTTTACCTGCTCACTAGATATGTTAAAATCTGATCCAAGAACTATTTGAGTTGTATTTTATAGATCGAATCTATGTTTACATTATGTCATTGAGACAATGCTTGAAAAATTATGACGCCGAGCCAGTGCTAGAAAGCAATGAAGATGTCAGTAGACATCATTAAAATATAATTTATCACATTCCAATCAGCAGATTAATATCCAGCTCATACGACCATCAATTTTTTTACAAAAAAGGACGAGTTTTGAACATATGAATAGCCAGGTGACCATTTTTGTAACTTTTAATAGTATGGGGATTCAACAAAGCAACGTTCTATAGTCAAGGGACCATTTTGTAACTTTTAATAGTCTAAGGACTCAATAAAGTAATACCCTATAGTCGAGAGATCATTTGTGTAATTTACCCTATAATTTAATCTATAAAATTCAAAAGTCATGAACAGCCAAAGTTTGTGATTTCTTCTAGTTCATGTTGGGAAGCAATTACTTCAAAATTCACAATCCATCATTTATCAACTCAAAATCCAACTTTATGAACTCAGAATCAATCCATATCACATCGTTTAATATACATATGCATATGATCTAAGGTCTCTTTCTATCAGTCGTATAATTATGGAATGTCCTATTGATCTTTATGTTCAACTTGAATTTCTTCATTCATTGTCAATTGATTTTGGATTAGATACTGATGTGGACTAAATATATATTGTATCGATAACAAAAAATATTGTATTTTGGTTGATAATAGATATCTGATTTAATCTCGAATATTTTTTCCTTTTTCTCTTATAAAAGAGGTTTAATGATATATTATCAACCAAAATACGATATTTGATTAGATCTATTTATTAATGTGGACCACATTAACCCTTTTTTCAAATAATAAGAACAAAGGTCAAAGGTTTTGAGCTATTGGTCCGGCAGAACAACTCAAATTATAAAGAATTATCGTTATTTTTTTTATGTACGTCCCAAGCTTAAAATACCAATTTTACAAAAAAAAAGAGTCTCCTATATGATAGAAAATGATCTCATGATCATGAATATATCTTACTTTTGATAGCAAATATCAAATTTGATTATGAAGAGCAGATCTACAAATACTTGAGTTTGTTGTCGACCAATCGTCACTCGTCATTGATCGTCATTCACAACAAAATTTATACCAAAACATTAGCATTTCATTCATTTTTCTCCTCCCTGATTGATTTTTCACAAAGTACACTAAAAATTGATGAAAATTCATCTAAAAGGTTGGACGTTCTAATGCTCTGATCTTTTTTTGATAACAGTTCGATGTGTCTAGTTTCGAGGTATGTTGTTCGTTTTCTCAAAAGAATGCTTCTCGTCATTATATTATGGTTGCAACAAAAATGTTATAAGATTATCTACTGCAGCCGGAAATGTAATAGAGAAAAATAACATTTTTAACCTAAAATGTTACATGTTCCACCTAAAAAATTACATGGTTGATATTATTTTCAGTTATAACCGATTTCTACCATTTTTAACATTATATTAACAAGATATATTTTATACTCTCCCAATTCATGATCATGCTAAAAACCAATTACTTCAAAAATCATCTCATCCTCAGCTCCACCGTCATCCCAATCAAGCAGCAATTCATACATCAATTCAAAATCCAACTTTCTAATAACAGAATCAATCCATGTCACATCATTCAATAATACAATCTAAGATCCCATTCCATCAAAATCATGATGATTTTTAAGATCATTCATCTTTCAAATCCCACAGTTCCCAGATTTGGATAAAAAAACTT